AGCTAATACTCCGGTAATCAAATCAATCGGTACACCATCCATAAATGGTGATGATTCAAGCTGGAGTGCCACTCGTGTCTCTCCAATTAATTGGACTAATTGATTGTTGTTATTGTTATTTGTTGTTGTTGACGACGAGTTTAGTTTCTGCTTAAGCAAAGTTAAGCATGCATCAATTATACCATCTGTCACAGCCATTCCAGTTTTAGTCAATGAATCTAGATCAACTTCATAAATGTTAAAGTGTTTCAGTTGTTCGACCACTTGTCCTCCATCTGTAGTATCAGCTAATATATCATAGGATCTGATATTCCTCCTTTTTGTTAATTGTGATGCTGATCTTGGCGTCAGACAAAAATCGCCTGTCTCAGTATTTGTACTAGTACTACGTTGTCTTTTTTTTTGATGAATTCTTTTTCTTGTGATCATGACCATCATCAGTACCGAGGGAGGATGAGGATAAATCATGTTGCTTAGATGATAGCAAGGGTTTGGGCTTTTTTTTGGGATTTGGTTGGCGTAAGGCGTCAAGTTGACTTTTATCACGAGATTTATCAGCCTTACGTGGTTTCTTGTTTCCTGATGCTGACTTTGTTTTTATTGTTTTTGGTAAGGTGATACTGTCGTTGTCCAATGAACGATTCAAACTAAGATGCACAGCGTCACGATGAATACAAATCTGTTTTGCTCGACAGGAACATGATTCTTTTGGATACATTTTAACGATTTCTTCTTTACCATACTGTTTAACTAGCCACAATGCTAACGAGTGCACAGAATGAATATGACCTTTTTTAATTAATTCCTCAGCCAAAATACGACGAGTAGACTTCAGTGGAACATTTGGCTTTGTGCTGTCTACAGTAATTGATGATTTAGTAGGCGGACTTTGGAAACGAAGCGATGTTACATCGTTTTCATCCACCAGATTATTAGGATCTTCAGTATCACTTGTTACATTTGTATCATTATTTGGTAAAATACTACTGTTATTAGCATCATCACCGTTGATTTAATATAAATCAGCCTGTAATTCTTTAACGATATCATTCATGGATATTTTGGGCTCATCTTCTATATCATCTGTATCTAATGCATAACGGGCAGCTATTGATTTCAAATGGTATTTTCCAAGGCCGGCACGACTTCGGCGAATATCAATTAGAAAATGAGCCAGAAGACGATGAAATGATAAAACAACTGCATCGACAGAGCTTTTTTTCCATTCATTCAACTGTTTTAACATAAAATTAAAACCTTCACATCGATTACTATAAGGAATTACATCTGAACATAAATAACCATGTGATCGCAGAGTAAATACAGTGATATTTATCAATACTTCTTTTAAATTATTATCAATATATTTTAACAGATCCTCTGGACATATTTTCGATAATTCATCATATGTATCGTCAAATTGCTCTAATGTTTCTGACAATTGTAGGATATCTATATATTCAAATATTCGTTTACGTAAATCTTTGCCAATTTGTTCTTTTCGACAATGAGTCTTCAAGTTTCTTTTCAAATGCACATAATCTGAAAATTGAGTCCATTGAGGAAAAACGAATGAAATACTATTCGTAATTGCATCTTCACGATCATGTGTTATAAAAATATTGTCGTCCACAAGTCTTTTTAACGATGGTTTTTTATTTAATTTCATTGTTAAAAAGTGTGTTATATGAGATTCTGTTGTTTGATTTCGATGAATTAAAATAGAAAAGGGAACCGTAGGTTCTTCATCAAAACAATTTATTTTTGTCAGCAGAGGGCTAACGAAATAATCACCGATACTGAAGGTTGTGTCGTAGAATAGTTGTTTTGCCGCTTGATCAGTGCTTTTAAAGCCCCATAGTTTGTTTATTTCATTGCACAAATCGGGCTCACTTAACACTAAAAGTAAATCTGGAACAGTTTCCAGTTTCCAAACAAGTGATGGCATTGCCATTGCAACATAGTGTAGATTCAATAATTCATCTTTACGTGATAACAATACTTTCATTGCAACTTTTCTCGCATTGTGTATTTGCAACAAATCTCGCGGCATGTTGTGAATGCTTTTGGCTTTATCGATTAAGCGGTGATAGACAACATTTGGATCGTAACCACCCGTACTACAGGGTGCGTAAAAATGTTTTTCTAGGGGGGTAACGCTATAATTGTGAATAGGGTAAGTAATGAATTTTATACCAGATGAAAGCCCGTCGAAAACGGGATTTATTGATGCTAAATAGTAAGTTTT